AATTAACTATAGGGGCTTGCCTCTATAGGGAACTTGGAACCCAGGTAAAATAAACCCTATTTAATCTTTGTATTAAATAGGGGAATTTGTCGGTCATATATAAAACGTTTGCAGATCAAACGGATGTCACAAATTTCTTAGTTTTCAGGATTGAGTCTATCGCTGAGGTCTACAATTATCTCTCGGGAGGGTGTAGTATTCGCGGTATCGGACACGATTATGCAAACTATCAGACTAATGAGCTATCAATGAGATTCATTTGGTCTCATTTTTCAAAAATTAAAACATACTACTTTTAAAACTCAAAATATATATCTCTTATACTTAAATTAAATTTCAAAAATTATTTTCATATTTTCATAATTTCAAAATCTAAATCAATCAATCGAAAAAGTAGACCGACACTGGGAAGGTGACATGTGTGTGGCTTACAAAGACAATCAAAACTCCCGTAGTTCTCATCCTTCCGCTCTGCTCCAACCCGAACAGGTGTGTATCCTATTTTTTAGCTTTAGTATGAATGTTCTTACTGGAGATTTACAAGAGAATGTACTTTGGGGTATGTTTTTTGCTGATGATATCGTTCTTGTGGATAACGCTAGAGAGAGTTCACGAAAAACTTGAATTATGAAGGTCAACCATAGAGATTAAAGGTTTTCATTTGAGTAGATCTAAAATTAATTGCTTTAAATACAATTTTAGTAGTAGTGGATCTAGTGGCGGGGTTATAACAATACATGATCAAGTCATTAAATAAAATGAACATTTTAGATATGTCGGGTTAATCGTTGAAAACGATGGTGATATGATGGGGATGTTATTAGTAAAATTAAGCTGGATGGTTGAAGTGAAGGAATGCATAAAACGTATTGTGAGGGTTAAGCCGAATAAAGAAGACCTATTATGTTAAGGTGGATGAGTGGCTTTACACTTAAAGACAAAATTTAAAACAAATATATTCATAAAACAAACGGAGTAGGTCCAATGGCATACAATATTAGAGAGCATCGCCTTAGATGATTTGGTCACATCAAACGTTGAATAACTAATGACCCAATTAGGAGAGTAGGAGTTTCAGATTTATCTTATTTTAAGAAAAGTAGATGTTTCAGATTTGACACTCAATAGAACACAATGGAGAAAAAGGAATCATTTGGCCAACCACACTTGAATTTTCATACACCTAAATTTTAATTTTCACATTTATATCGCCCAAGTCTTTCATTCTTATATACCGTAGTATGGTTGCACTGATCTGTAAAATTAATTGTATGTTGTGGATGGATATTCGTAATTTGAGAGCTTGGACGTATAACAGATTATATCCAAGACAAAAAGAACTCACAAATGAGTTCTTGAATTGATGTATAACAGATATTTCATGTAAACAATTATACATTCCATAGGAGTTCCTAGTGTGAAGGAAATAAGACATATAACTATGGTGTCGTTGTTAAAAGAAACACACACACAGACAAACAATATTGTTATTACGGTGTAATTGACGAAGGCATTTAATTGCAATATCCAGGTAATGCGAGCTACATTGTACACTTGTTCAACTGCCAGTGGTTTGATCCCGATCCATATCGAGGAACTTCAACACTCACACCTTTCGATATTATTGAGGTTAAATTGAATAGCCGATATGCAAAGATTAATTCTTTTGTACCGGCATGCTAAGCTACACAGGTCAAATTGAGACCTATCTCTCGTGGAAGAAGATACCTGTAGCCACTCGGGATATGTGGTTCAGGGAGTTTGTGGTACGTTTATATAATTTGAGTAAGATTTGTAAATTTGATTTAATTTTTTATACTAACACGGATTTTTTTTTACGTTGCAAAGGCCCTTCACCTGGCTCCCAGAGCACCACCAACAGATTTGTCGAATCTTTGAGATCTGGGGCAGGCATCGCCAAGCCGACATGTTCACGACAACCCGTCGGAGCGGCGACCTAGTTGCCTGGATTGGTGAGGGGTTCTGGAGTCAGTTAACCACAGTTTGGGTCTCTCCTGATTATGAGAGGAAAGGGCAGACAAACAGGATGAAACGACCGACGGAGGGAGCCAGGGGAGTTGCGCTCTATATTGACGAACCGGTCCCTCATATGAAGCAATATAGGAGACTGGCATAATTTTTTTAGATATTTATACATTAATTCAAATTTTGGAGCATCTTTCAAGATCACGGGTTTAATTTATATTTTTGCTCCCCAGCCGCAGTGTCTCACGACACTGACCAACTCGTCTAACAGGGATTAACATTTGGAGGCTGTCGAAATTTCGAGTGAAGTTAAACTTGTGAATAAGTTAAAATTTTGAGATTTTTGAACTTATAAAAAAAATAATAAAGTGTGACTCATTTTGAATTTTAAATTGGCTGATAAACTCGAGTTTTCAAAGTTTAGGCTCTTAAGATTTAAAATATCAGTGACTTGGGCTTTTAATATTTAAGCTAAAAATTTTAAAGTTTTTAGCTTTCAAAACATACTCTTTGGAATTAAAGATATTGAAATTTTGATGTTAAAATTTAAGCTCATAAGACTGGAAAATATTTTGAAATCAGGCTATTTAGATTTAGGCTCCTAGTGGCGGAAAAAATAATTGAAATCTGGAGTTTCTTAAAATTTTGAATTAATCGTCACCAGATTCGCAGAGCACTTGCTAGCGAACAGAAGGCAGTCCCTTTTAAAAGTCAAAAATGTAATTTTACATGCACTACAATAAAGATAATGCTTCAACACAAAATATCAGTTTTGAAGTATGTGCAAGTGAACTACGCCCTTTTCTAGTGATTATGTAAGTGTGGTCAAATTATGTGCAAATGAATAAAACTTCATGTTATAATTTGAAGATCATAACACATTATGATAGTCTATATGTGCATAATCTCAAAATTAAATACATAGCCTGCAAGTGCTCCAATTAATGTATTGAATACTCAAATATTCGGTTTAAGAATGTTATGCGCGCTAATCGAGCCGATTTGTTTATAGTACAGGGTTATAAGTCTCACTCAACTAGTCTCATACTCCTTGCAAGGACTGGAGTTGACGAGTGTAGTAAATTCAAAATAATTGTTCAAATCATAAAAATAATAATTTACAAGTTGATATCACTTAGTCTGATCCTCGTCCTTATAAGCACAGCAGTTAACAGGACTCATACCCTAAAAGTCTAAATTAAAAATCTAAATGGGCCGCTTAAAATATAAAAATTTAAAATGTTTAATACCCTGATAATGGTCGTGTTGATCAAAGATTTCAATCAGAGGGGTCTATTTTAAAATTATGCTTCAAAGTCTATTTTGAATTCAATTATTTCGATTATTGAACGCAATTATCTATAAGCAGGATAGAGTTGACAAGGTTTAAAGATAAAAAATGTTCTGATGATAGCAGTATTGATCGAAGATTTCAACCAGAGAATTTAATCTTTTAAATCAAAATTTTTAAAGTAATCAATCAAAATGTTCAAGTAAAAATATAGCACTAAAAGCTTAAAGCAAATCACATCCACCCTCTGCAACTGTTTGTCGAGAACAACAAATTTTTGACTGACTTCAGTTCACAAAGAGCTAATGTCATATTAAGTATATCTATATATTCACAATTAAAGTAATTACATGTCAATAAGGATGTGGCTCAAGTCATCTGCCTGCATGGTTTTGCAGTCAAATGTCATCACAAAGTAGCAGTTACGACGAAAGCCCTCTTACCGGGTGGTTGTCGCCAAACGACACCATTATATTACGTTCACGGTCGCAAGGCATATGTTCTCCAAAGGCTTTCTACTCTTTGAGTTGAGAATCATAAGAGTACAATTGATTGGCACAAAGCCTTTTGTTAACTAAGGTCGACTTAAATTTGTTCTCTTAGACAAACATTCACCCCAGATTTACAAGGATTTCTTGGATAGCACAACTGATGGCGGCTGATAGGAATCCTTCTGTCAGACTGGATTGACTACCTCCTCTTACTAATTAAATCAGGGACCATGATGAACCAAGAAGATGGAACCATGAGATCTTCATCGTGTTTTATCTTCATTCCTCCGCCATCCACTATAAGCTTCAAGTGACGAATTTTTACACTTTGAAATCTTAAATTTGCTGTTATTTTATATTAAATATTCAATTCTTAACAACTAGTTTTAATCAAAAGTGCCCTTCTGTCATCGAGAGAAATAACTAATCATAGAGACTTGCGCTTGGGAAACCTTGAACCAGGATCAAAAAGTCCTCGCAAAATAAGAGTGAAATTTCTGGTAGTGTCCTATCTACAATCCAATCTGCCTTCTAAAAATTTGACCCTCCAAAGCTCTTTCTCAAAATAAAACAAAATAAAAACAGAGTTCATGTGGCGCAATCAAAATTTTCAGAGCCCACAGGTTTCAATGATAATTTAATTTGTTCAAATAGTATAATAAGCATAATAATTTAATCTACACATGGTAAAATGAGACATTAAACCAAAGGGTAAATTTGCTACTTTTAGATTTTCCCTCCTGAATTAACAAATGCTGTAGTTAACAGACAAAAATGTTTTTAGTTAGAACACTTACCAAGCAATCTAAACGAGCATTGATAGTTCCAATATCTTTCAGAGGCTGCAGTAAGTTCGCCCGAAGTAGTCTAGCTCTAAGGCAGGCAAGCATAAATATATCATAATGTAGCACATTAGATATAAATAGCTAGTAGAGTTTACACTGCAGAAGAACAAGAAGAAAACTTCTAGCAGTTTTGAAACGGAAATAACTTCAGCACTTAATTATGTGACAGAAAATAATAATCTAAAGAGACCCTGAAATTTTTATGAAGGGAGAATTGAATCAATTGAAACTACTCTATGGAAATACAGCCAAAATACTCGCATTTCAAATATTTTTCACGTGTTGCAAGTGAAGAAATCTGTAATGGAATTTCTTTTAGAAAGGTTAATTTACTAAAAAAGAAGCTCATAGAGCAAAAGGACTATACCAGAAAATAATTTTCATTTGAAACTGAATATTTAAGGGTAACCTCTTTGACGTTTGACACAAGCTCAACAACATAACTTGCTCTAATATTTCTCTAGTCACTGTTGACCTCAATTTTCGTGAGGTCTAGTATTTCTCGTAGGAGTTAGGATCTAGCCTTAGGGGTCTTCCTGCGACTATCTTAGAACCTTAGAAGTGGTGCCCACCTCGTTTTTAGTTCGACCTATTTCCGTCCTCTTGTGGAGTTTCGCGTGTGCGGCATCGGCTTCTAACACTTAGAAGGATGAAACCGACATGAGGAAACCCAAAATGGATTCCTATAGGACCTT